TGTTAAACACAGTTTTTATTAAACCTCTTTAAGTAATAATCAGGCACTAGCATTGTTAAACCCAAACATAGAATTGCCTGCACGCATAGCCTGTCATAGACTGTAAAAAAATAAAAATAAAAAAAAATACTGTGAAAAAAGTCCCCTTTCAGCTGATTTAACGATTGAAATAAAATTGTATTCATTATTTAAATGCCACAAAACTTGGAGCAAGCTATAGAATCTCCTACATACCAGTGGCATAACTGGATGGGAGTGTGTGTGAGGGTTGCTGGAATGCTGGAAATGTACAATAAATGCACAAAACAAAACATTACGAAGTCCTGAAAACAACTTTATGCCTGTTTTCATGTTCTTTTCTTATTTAAAACCAAATAAGTCTTTAGTGTTTGTATGAGCAGGGTTTGTTTTTTTACCGGATGTGTTTCAAAATATGGTGGGGAGATATATATATATATATATATATATATATATATATATATATATGATCATTAAGGAACAGTATGGCCTACTTTTATAGAAGCGTGCAGGTCTGAATATATTTTATTAATTGTTTTAAAAAAGTTTGTCCAAAAATGAAAAAAATGCACCCTCTTGTTGCTGCAAACCCTTTTTTCTTCTCGGAGAAGACTTTTGAATAAAATTGAAGTCACTAGGCTATTCACTTTCATTGCATCTTTTAACCATACAACGAAAGCAAATGGTGACTGAGAACATTGCTATATTGTATTTTAAAAAAGAAAAGAAAAATCATATGGATTTGATTGACTTGGGAGTGAGAAACTGGTGACATAACTATCATTTTATTTCAATAAATTAAAAACATGATTCAAAATAAACCTTCCACAAGAGGGCAGCAAATGACTTATTTTAGATTTAAAAAAAAAAAAAAACTTCCATTATGTTTTCTAGCTTGCAGTGCTGCATAAGCTTACATGTGGTCATGACACATTTACCAAAAGGTAAAATAAATAAATAAATTGAGTGAACGCTGTCTTCTGTTTATCTTTGCTTTTATAAATAGTGAGAGCTATAACTTATGTCATATGTGTTGATTCATGTTTGTTTGTTTTATTCTCATTTTTGTCTTTAAGAAAACTTTCAGGGAATCTGAAGTAACTATACATAAACATCCCCTATATTTGCTCATACTTCAGATGAAAGGCTTCATCATACCATGTGGCTCCAAGGTCAAGAGATCAGCACCCGACATTCCTCATGGGTCACTTCTCACATGAGAAAGTGTTATACATGAAAGCACTTTCACAACTAAAGATTGAGATAGATCAGGCCATGACCAAGACGGGAGAAGGGATATATGTGTCTTCGCAGCTATTACAGCATGTAAAGATGTGGTGGTGAGCCATTCCATTTTTAAAAGCAATACTGCCAGTGCATTGGATTTACAATGCATTGGTTGTATTGTGTCAAAAAAAAATATCTAGCCTACAGATGGTTTTCTGATTTTCTTTTCATTTTTTAAAGAACAATTTACTGCAAAGGGTTTGACACAGATCACAGAGGCAAGCAAAACAAAAGAAAATCAAAGAATTAGGGCAGAGATTCATGTTCAGGACTAGATTTTGTCACGTCTCTCTCTCCCCGTCTGTGCGGATGCTTTGAGTAGGCATGGTTCTAAGGCATACATATGCATGAGAAGTGAAAAATGACATGAAGCTTCTGAGTACATCTTCATTGACACTCAAAAGCATATCACTGTTTTCAAGACAGCAAGAAGCTCCAAATCAAAGTTTTCAATCTTGCAAGGGTGCTGTCTCATTAGTGGCAAATCACAACTCTGACATTTACACTGTAAGCAATGGTAATGCATTTCCATTTCCTTTAGAGCGGAGCGGAACATTTCAGTCAGACAGCATAAGTCTGTTTGTTCGGGAAAACAAGCCAGGGGAGGAGGCAGAGGCAAAAAACAAACAAACAAACAAATAAATAAATAAAGAAAAATAAATAAAAAAGTAAACAAAAATATCCTGCAAATACAAAAACACACAAACATACATCTGTAAAGGAGTTTAACTCACATCAACCTAAAAAGGATCTTGCATTTTTCCTTTGTTCGTGTTTAAAACTATATGTAGGCTATGCAGCTGACCAAATGCAATTGTAAATTGAAAACAACAGTTTACAATTCTTCTTTTATCGCAGTTAATTGTTGATTGTCAATGGCTTAGTTAAATTCCACAATCAACAACTCTTTTTAGTCCTGAAAGAGGTGTTAGTCCTTTTAAGGAAAGGCCAGTCCAAGTCAGGACAGCATGTTCTTTGCCTTGAATCAAATCATTTGGCAATGAAAGAGCGATACTACTATCACTAAATCATTTAAGATAAGATAAGACACATACACCGGAATATCTGATTTACATCTATATCTATATCAGAGAAATAAAAAAAATTATAATAATCTGGTCTGGTAAAATAAATAGTAGTGTGAATTTCACTCCGAATTTCATTTTGCTTCATGAAAACAGCATTTTTTGAAGATAAGAAAATAAGGCAGAGTTGTTTCCGAATTATGTTAATTATATATATATTTTTTGAAATTATGTGTAGATAATTTTGAACGAGAATTTTAGAACTCTATCTATTCGATAGTGCTTGGAGATGACATTGACTTCACTTTACCTTTGGCTGAGGTCAAACTCATAGATGGGGGGCTCAAGCACACATAGAAATTAAAGAAATTCATTCATTTTATTCAATCAAAAATTGAGATTCAAGAACCTCTCTGATTGAAGGATCTCACATTGGGTACGTGTTTAAAGTTAAAAAATAAAAACCTGACACAAAAGCTTTAGCTTTCTGTTTTGTTTTTTTTTTTGTTTTTTTTGCACTAATTGCATTTTTTGTAATTAACTCCAAAATCAGGTATCAACGAGAGAGTGACTCAAGACAACACTAATGGAAATAATTTGTGCTTTAGGTTGGTTGGTAATCTATTGTCTTCATTGCTCAATGCTGCAAAACACTCTAAAAATGTTGCGTTGGTCAAATATGAACAAACTCAATCTTTGGATTAAAAATGCAATTTAAAAAAATGTAACCCAACAGCTGGGTTTGTCTTGACCCAAAACTGGGTTAAAACAACCCAGCATTTTTTAGTGTAGAAACCTTTGACAATCTTTAGAGTGCAACCACAGGTACTGGATATAGTTCACCAAAATGCAATTATTTCAGCGAGAACTGACGCTCAAACATATAGGGCTTTAAAATGAATAAAGTAGAACTAATAAAATGTTAACCTTATAATAGTGTTCATTAAATTGGGCACTTTACTTTGTTTTTAATTATTTTAATTTATTTTGAAATATATAAATATATATATTGTTGTTAATAAGTTGTTAAATTTAATTTATACAATTCTCTAATCACTACACCAATTTGTGTAGTGCAAAATCCATTTCTAAATAGCTCCTGAATCTTGGAATTGTTGCTATGATTAAAGGTGCAATAGGTAACCTGGGAAATGCTAACTTTAGCTCACTAGCATTGAAAGCATATGATCCCACCCTCCCTGCAAATCAAGGCGATCAGAGGCAACGTTATTGGATTACATAATGTTTAATTCCTCGTATGTTTAATTAATTGAGAAAACATTACAGTACAGTGAGTAACTACTATAATAATGAACATAAACAACTGTTTGCCTGCCATTCTCGCTGTGCATAGCGTATGTGAAACGCGCAAATGACGTATGGAGCCCATTCTCATCCCAAGGTGTCATATATGACGCTTTTGCCAAAGCATAGACATCCAACGCACATGGCACCCTTTCAAGTCAAATGAGACGCAGATATTAATGGGGCAGAAGGTGCCTCCTAGTGGTCTAACCCTAACCCTACCCCAGACCTAAACCATAACCGAAGCGTCTCATTTGACGCTAAAGGGTGTCATGTGCGTTGGATGTCTACGCTTTGGCAAAAGTGTCATATATGACGCCTTGAAATGAGAATGCGTTGACGTATGACGTCTGCCTGAACAGGCTGCCCAGTCTTATGCAAGTACACGTTTGCTGTTGTCATTTGGACCTAATGCAATGAATAAACTAACATTTTATGGTCACAACTTCCACAGATGATATATAAAAATATGTTTATACCGCTTAACATACACTCTAAAAAAATGCTGGGTTGTTTCAAATATGGAAAAACACAAATGTTGGGTTAAAATGTATAAAAAAATAAATAAAAGTTAAAAGTGAAAGTAGAACATTTGGGTTTGTCCATATTTGACCCAAATTTGGGTTGAAACAAACAGGCATTTTTTAGAGTGTAGTGATTGCTATCAAGATATGAGTAGACTTTCAACCATCATAACTAAAATGTTTCTATAGAGAATCACCTATTGCACCTTTAACTCAAGACTTTTAAAGCTTGGAGGTACATGAGTTTGCCTCTATTGGTTTTAATAGCTACTGTATAAAGTAGACTAATGTGGAAGGATTACTATGTAGATTAATATTCAGTCTAACAGTCTGACACCTCCACATAATAGAAAGAGACATTTTCAGCTTTATAGCCCTAAGCGTAAAAAAAAAGCTTGTTAGCGCAGATGCTGGGAGCCAGCAAATTGTGTGAGATATTACACTCCATTTCACTAATTTAAACAGCTTTGTTCTAATACTAAGCTTTATATAATTTTTGTGACCTCATTTTAATTGAGAGACCTGCTATGCTATGTGTAAAAATTAAGTAATTAAAGTGCTAATAAAGGAAATAAAAAAGTATGCTAATACATTTAAGAATGTAAAAAAAAAAAGATATTTTTTAATACTGTCTACCCTAATTTCATATCAATAATCATAATAATAACAATAACAACAACATCAATATGTATTATTATTATTATTATAATTATTATCATTTTAAAAGTAGACTCAAGTGTTATCATCATGGCTGCGGAAGTTGGTGGGTTTTCAAACCCACTTCATCCTCTTATTCTTGATAGATGTGTATCGCAGCCTCCTCCTACTGGCCCCTCCCACTGAAACACACACAGATACACAGAAAGCGGGAGAGGTATTTAAAACTTTTTGAGATCTGTCACAGGCTTTGTCATCCCGAAAATCGTGGTGTTTGTCGCACGGTTAATCACTGTCCTGACAGAAGATTTTGCGCAGGTCTTTTTTTACTATAACAGCCGAAGGAAACGTTACCGTGAACTCCCTAAGAAAGTTTTCCTCATCATTACAGAAGATTCACTGGTATGTCACTTTGTTCTATCATTGCTTTAGTTTTGACGTGTACATTTGTGTCAGGACCATTGCAAGACCAGTTTAGGGTCCTTGTAAAAATATTGTTTTATCGCATGTTTACAGTCGAATGCTCAAGACGCGCATGCACGTTTCAGAGCAGCGTGTTGAGTCTGATTCTCGCGACGAGACAAAACCAGAACTCTTCTACTATAATCTATGAAGCTGTTGTCTTCTTTGCATATAACGTTCTTTAGAGATTAAAGTCCATTAGAAATCAATGTGATTGTAAAATGTGTGTGTTTTTAAAAATAAGAGAACTCTAAAGAGTTTTGTAAGTCTGCACGAGCTCTGCAGATGTTGTGATGTGGCCAGGAAGAGCTTGAGGTGCTTGTGGTGCCATCTGACAGCTGAACTACGGCGTGTTGTCCAACACAGAAACACTTTTTTTTTTGTCCAATAACTTCAAGCCTGACTCTTTTTCAGGATGAGTGGACTGCCCTGGTCAGGAATTTCATTTAATCAAATTAATGTACATAGTTCACATAACACTGGAGGTAACAGTCATGACATGAATCTCTCAGTGCATGTAAAGACAAAAGCCTCTTCCATTTACTAGTTGCAGGTATTGTGAAATTCTCAAGCAGGACTGTGAGTATTACACAATTGGGAATGGTATATTATGTAAAACATCACAAAACTTCAAGGTATAACTTTCATGGATTTCTGTCACTGAACTTGAGTGATACTTAACAAGAAATACTCATAAATGTCTTGTGTCATCATTTGGGTGTGTGCATTGTGATTGTATTCTATAGATGCGGTTCTTCAGCAAAATGAACAGCAGAGAAGTTCTTACATTGTTGATTATTTTCAGCAGATGTAGAATTCAAGACTTGTGGTTCATACTAAAATGTGTTCGGACTGGGTTGCAGTCACAGACAACAAATAAAACAAAATAACAAAATGGACCTAGAGTAGTTAGTTTTTATGTCAACCTTTCATAAGGAGGTCAAACCTCTTCCCATATTTTTTTGGTCATGACGTCTAATAATGTGCAACAAATAAAAATCAAATCAAGCCGTTGTAGAGCTCATTTACAGCAGAATTTGAATTAGTCTCATATTTGATGAAGTTTTCATTATTAATTCTGTTATATTCCTTATCTATCTATCTATCCATCTATCCATCTATCGTTCTCATAAATTTGTTTATTAAATATAACTTTGCTGTTTATTAAACGTAGCATTAGTATTTATTAAACAAATTATTTATTAAACTAGTGTTAAACCGTGGACACCCTTGTTGTTATCTTTCTGTGTTTGTTTACCAGAGAGACAGTTTTCATCTTATCAGTTGAAAACTGATTAAGGCAAAGTGCCTTAATTTAACATTTTATAACCTATTTGTGCTTACAGGTTACAAATTTATAAAAATAATATCTGTAGTTGAGTCGCTGTAAGTCACTTTCATTATTGGTGCGTGGCTGATCTCCTCAGGGGGATTTGTTCTGGGTCCTGGTCAGGCAATTCATGCCTGTCAGACATTAGATGATCTCTGCAAGTGTCTTGCGTGAGAAAACGAGGGTTTCTGGGCAGTGAGTTTCATGGCAAAGGCTAATCGGAGCTCTAGAAAGTACTTTTAGACTGTTCATATAGTGATTCTAAAAGTGGAGATTAGGTGTAGACGAGTGGAGGTGGTTTCATGAGGACAACAGACCTATGACTGTCATCTGATTCAAGAAGGTTCCTCAGGGTTCGCGATCACTCAGTCCTAACTTATTACTTTCTAGTCTCAAAGATAGAGGGAGACAGAGAAAGTTCAGTGCTTTTTGGAGGGAACTAAATTCACTGCACATAGCTGAGTAGATTAACAAGAGATGATGCATTTGAACAACTTTATCTTCTCTTAACTGTCACATTGGCGTTCTGTGAGTAGAGCCAGGGATTCATAACTAGAGGAGTATGAGTAAAAATGCATGTTGGTGCAAGTGTATGTGTGTTACTTTGCTGACTCTGATGTGACTCACAAATAAAGGTTACATAGACGCAGATCTGCAGATGTTCTGTGGTGTTAGTGACCACCCTGAGGTGTGATTTAGTGTGTGTTTGTGTGCATGCTGCTGTGTGAATGAATGTGTCCGGTCCTAAAGATGTGCATTTGGCCCAGTGAGCCGATTCAATTGATCAATTTGTATCACTGTTGGAGGTTGTGGTTTTGTTTTAGTGCAGCTGGCCACTTCATGTCCCTAGTGTGTCACTGTTTGACACGTGGCTACGCTCGCAGCCAACAAGGAGAGGATCCATTTGGGCCGACGAGCACATCTTCCATTATAAACATGTCAAAGAGGCTCCCGTCACCGTTGACTTACGCAAACGGGAAACCACACTCTGTTTAGACTGAATGACTCAATCCAAATAAGATTCATTAGCAGGCAGCCAAGAGGCCCGTGTTGGACATCATTATAGCTTTCGGGAGGCCTCCACTACCAAAGTGGCCCTACATGATGCAGTCACACTCAGGTATCCACATTTTCATAGAAACTCATGCCATGTTACATAGCTTGAACAATGTAGGCTGTTCTGTTTTATTTATACATGGCTTGAAATAGTTGTGGTGTTATTCTCTAGAGGTCATGATATATTCTGGTCTATCCTCGACATGCTGAGATGGTTTTCAGAAAGACATGGCCAAACATCCCATAAAGACCTTGTGAAATAAATGTTAGCTGTTAGCTTGGTCGCTATACTGTATTTACAGTCTTTTTTTTTTGTAGTAAATGGATCATAAATATTAATAAATCACCTTGTTTGGAAGGGTGAATGCAAATCTGTCTTTACACTCTTAAGCTTAAAGGAGTAGTTCACTTTAAAAAAAAAAAAAACTTTTGCTGATAATTTACTCACCCCCATCTCATCCAAGATATCCATGTCATTCTTTCTTCAGTCGAAAATAAATTAAGGTTTTTGATGAAAACATTCCAGTATTTTTCTCCATATAATGGACTTCAATGGGAACCAAACGGTTCAAGGTCCAAATGGCAGTTTCAGTGCAAACTGTTCAAAGGGCTTTAAACGATTCCAGACGATGAATAATGGTCTTATCTAGCGAAACGATCGCTTATTTAAAAAAAAAAAATTATCAAAGTTTAAGTTTTATAAGCTCAAATGCTCGCCTTGCTCTGTTCTGTGATGCACGTTCGTGACTCTCCTGTTCAAACTCGTTGATCAAAATGAACAAATCTTTTTTCGTGTCATTTGGTTCATTCAACGAATGAAATGAACGAGTTGACTCTGGAAAATATTCATTCATTTTGATGAACGAGTTCGAATAGGAGAGACATGCATCACAGAACAGAGCAAGGCAACCATTTGAGCTTATAAAACTTAAACTTTTTTTTTTTTTTTTAAATGAGCGATCCTTTCGCTAGATAAGACCCTTATTCATCGTCTGAAATCGTTTAAAGCCATTTGAACAGTTTGCAGTTTGCACTGAAACTGTCTTTTGGACCTTGAACTGTTTGGTTCCCATTGAAGTCCATTATATGGAGAAAAATCCTGGAATGTTTTCATCAAAAACCTTAATTTCTTTTCGACTGAAGAAAGAATGACATGGACATCTTGGATGACATGGGGGTGAGTAAATTATCAGCAAAAGTTTTTTTAAAAGTGAACTAGGCCTACTCCTTTAAAGGGTACATCATGCTTTTAAATCATTCATTTTTACATATAAATCATACCGTTGTGGTCTATATAAAACATAACTGCAATGCTTGGGTCTGAATTCCTCATTATTATAGCTCCACAGGCCCCTTTTCTACCCCTTTTCTGATGTGCGTCTGTGAGCGATCCGTTTCAATGCGTCCCATTTAAATAAAAAGGAGATGCGTCACACCCCGGCCGCTCTCCAGGTCGATGAGTTCACGGTCGGTTCAACTCCCCGCGTTCGGCCATTATTGTTGTATTTTGATTAGAGATATACGACTATATACGATACCTTCAAAGAACATTTTTATTCACACTTTAATAAAATGTCAACAACAGAAGACTTGTCCTTCAAGCCTTACATATTCGAGCCAGAGCGAGCGAGTTGATAAAGACTATGACGAACCTGCAGAACAATGTGAGTTAACTGTTTTGTGTTATTAGTGAAAGTCGACTATTTCTCTTTTTAAAATAAGCACATTGACAAGATAAATGACTACGGTCTAATCTTACCACAAAAAAAAATCTGTATTGACAATATGAAAATCATCAGAAAACAACGCAGCTAAATGACCATTGATGAAACTCAAGAACAATAATACTGCAGACGTGTAACGTTACTTCAAAACAAAAACAAAGAAAGTCAAAGGTACTGCTAAACCATGACCACCATGTGTTTTAAGAAAGTAAAGTACTTTATTTTTATTAACGATATTTACAGCTTATCGAAATGCTCTGTTCGTCGTCTCCAAAGATAGAAGGAATTTACCTCTCATTCAGACGAAGTCGATCGGCAAACCCTTCTTTATACTGGCGGAGGTTGTTGAAGTGGGAATCCTTGAAGTGCTTCAGGTCACTAACGTACATCCAAAAACCGAACATTTTGACTTGCCCTCTTGTAACTTCTGCATCATTGAGCTCGGACTACAAAATCGGAGCGAGAAATAATAATGGCGGATTGCTCGAAGTTTTGGACTGGTAGTCAATGTCTTTATTTGTCAGTTCCGCTGCAAATACGGTGACGCACTTGCTCAAAAAACGTCATAGACAACAGAAAAATCTGAACAGGTTGAAAAATATGACCAAAACAGAATATAAAGATATAAACGAAGCACCTGAAGAGAATAATTTCATCTTTTCTGTACTTATAAACACTCCAAATATACAACAAAATGCATTTAAGGGCTAAAAAAGTGGATTTTGCATGACATGTCCCCTTTAAGGTTCTTTACTGGCATGGATTCCATGAAGTAACTTCCTTGTTGTGGAAAAAGGTTTTTTGGATTATTAAAATGATCTTTACACCTG